AACCCCTATAAAACCCATTCCTTGAAAACCATGGCCATAGCCCACTCTTTTGGTCTCAAAATGAAGTTTTAGATGTGCTGAGTTCGATTATTACCTTTGGATACCAAACAAGGGTTGCAAGAAAATCAAGTTACCACCTTTAATTGCCCAACTTGAAGGAAGAAGAAGAAAATTTGAAGAGGAAGATGAGACAAATAAAAGTTGAGAAAAAGAGGGAAAAGTCAGTCGCGAGATCACCCAAATTAATGGATATTCAGCCTTTCAACATAAAATTAGTCTAACTTTACTCTTGGTCCTCTTGATTTTGGTTAGGTACTAAAAATGCCCCTTTTCAACACTATTGGGCTCAATCCAAGCCCAATTTCACTAATTCTTGGGTTAAGGCTCTTAAAAGCTAGGGAACAATTTCTAGGTTCATCTCGGGTTAGCCCAAACTACTAACCCAGGATCTGGGCGTTACAAGTAAAGTTGAAAAAATAAATATTTCTCAAAGAAAAAGGGAAGTTTAAGTATTTTTCTAAAAGGGAGCTTTTCTCAAAAATAATTTTTCAAGGAAGTTTTGTTATATCAAAAAGGGGAAGATTGTTGAAATTATATTTTGATATAATAAATATTTGTAAAATTGATTTTGGACTTAATCAAACATTTCAAAAATAATTCAAACTCCAAAATAACTTGAAAAATATGTTTTCTAATATATATATATATATATATATATATATATATATAATGTTTTTGAGTTGGTTAAAATGTATTTAAAACTTTTAAAGTATGACAAACATTATTGAGTCACTATTGGCAATGTTCATGACACTGTTCAAAGACGGGTATTGTTAATAGTTTTGAAACTTTTGTAAGAGTTTCGAAACTTTACTCCCTGAAATTGTTTTAATGGCCGATTTTCTTCAAATGTCATATATTTATGTAGGAGTTTCGAAACTTTCATCAAATTTTCAAAACCTCAAAAACAATGTATTTAGAAGTTTCAATACTTTACAATAATTTCAAAACTTTCATCAAAGTTTTGAAACTTGCTCCAAAGTTTCGAAACTTCATGTGCAGATAACCTTTATTACATGTTTTTAAAGCCTACAATGGTAATAATTTATCCCCAACGATTAGAAACACATTTCAACTGATAAAAAAACAAAGGGACACTTGAAGAAGGTTACTACATCTATCCAAACTTAAAGATCAAAAGAAAATAATTTTCATTCTTATTTCCTTCATTTTTGTCTTGTACATAAATGTATAAAGCTTAGTTTTATATCTTTTGCTATTATTCTTGTGAGCTTAAATATTTGTAAACACATACTCTATGAGGTATTCTTGTTTACCAATCATCCTTTTTTAAAAGGGGAGAAGTTTTAGTTGAGCCTAAGAAAAACTAGAGTTGTAAAAGTTACTCTTTGTCCTAGAAAAAAAGAACAAAATAGTGAATTTGTTGAAACCCTTAGTGTGGAGCTAAGGTAGTGGATGCAAACTTTGGTTGAGAAAATCGAACTACTATAAATCTTGTGTCTAATTCTTATATTTTATTGCTTCCACACCAAAGATTTTTATATGCCTATGCCCCTCTTGACATATTTCGGTTGATCGATCAAGTCTAACAACTAGGTCAGGAAAATGGGCCTCATCCTTTGACCTTTGCTGGAATGGACTTGGACCTTGACTTCTTAGACATGAACATGGATTTTAGAATTTGGACATCGACTTTGGACCTGAAAATAAAATAAAAACAAAAATATTAATATTAATAATAATATATAATATGTAATATATATTAAAATATAATATATAGACTATAATATATAATATTTTTAAAAATAATATACCTATTATTATATATAAATGGTATACGTACTATTATATATTCAAATGTATTATATATATATATATATATAAAAAATACTATATTTTTTTCAAAAATAATAGATTATATAATATACTATATACGATAAGTATAATACTTCTTCTCCCCATTTATATTGTTTATTGTTGATTTTTCACATAATTTTAAGAAGAAAAAGTTTGTGTAAAAGATTTGTTATAAAAAACTAAAATGATAATTTTATCTTGAAAAAGTCAAATTTTACTTTGTTGAGAAACTAAAAGAAAGATAAAAAGAGAAACGTGTCTAATAAAAGTTATTGATTTTTATTCAAAGGGATAACTTAAATGTGACAATTTTAAAACATAAAATGGATAAATTTAATGGGTTAGAGAGAGTATATAATATACTATCATATATAATAAATATACTATAATATATAAAATTAATATATTATATGAAATAATATATATATATATATATAATAAATATACTATAATAAATATATAATAAAATACTATTGAAATTTGAAATAAATCACGAGACGAAAATATGTGTCTACAAGATGAAAATTGTTAATTAATTAACAAACAATGTATGTTGTTGACATGATATTTTCATATTTATATAATTATTGATGTGACACGTAACATATCAATACTCTTAGTGACATGATATATATTAAATCATCATATTAGATGATATAATACACATCATATTATTATTTTGGGAGACATAGTACATTTCACATATCACCTTAAGTGATGTGACATATGTTATGTCAAATCATCTAAGGTGATATATTATGTGTCACATCAATAATTAAGTCCATATAAAAATGTTACATCAATTTCAGTGGTTACCATTTAATCAATTAACGATTTTCTTCTAAAATTAGTATTTTTAATAAAGAAAAATTAAAAGTGTAAACTACGTCAATGGTCATTAACATTAGAGTTAGTGTTCATTTTCACCACTGATGTTTTAAAAATCATAAATCGATCACTACTTTTATCGTTTGTTACAAATTGGTCATCCGACGTTAATCGTCGTTAACAGTCGTAACAGAAACCACAGCTGGACGAGATTACCACGTGTCACTTCTTCTTCTTATCTCTCCTCTCCACTTCTCTCTTGTCTGTATGTTTCTAAACGATTATCTCCAGCTATCCACCCCAGTTCTGTTAATATAAATTTATTCAATTAACTCAATATTTTAATATTTTAATATAAAGGTTATTCTTCTTCTTCCCCTCGGCACTTTTAGTGCAGCCCAAGTGTTGGCACCTCCTCCCAATTAACAGCGCGGCTCTCAAAACCTTTGTTACATCCTGGTTTTTGGAATCTTTGTTCGCCTCCATGACCCATACAAAGACCAGATGCCCCTCTTGCTCCTTTTGAGCAGCCAACAAAACTTGCATTTCTTTGAATTGCTTACACGATTATCCGAGGACGCCATAGTGGTGGTTTGCTCAGAAAGCGTCTCTATAGGAAAGTCGGTCTGCGAAGAGGGCTCACAAGTTTGATGAAATTCATGACAGGGAGATTTATCCCCAAACTAAAAAGACTCTAGTAACTGAACCAAAGCTTTGCAACTATCCATTTTTGGAGCAAAGAGTGATGGCATATAACCACCAGATTTCTTGGCCACTCGTGATGGCATATAACCACCAGATTTCTTGGCCACTCGTGATGGCATATAACCAAACCAAAAAAAAAACTCTTGTGTCTGAACCAAATCTGACCACTCGTTAATGCTAATCGTTGGGGTTTTGTTTCAGTACAAAAACAACCAACACACCTATTGCTTTGTTTATATGGACTTATGGGCTTTGATTGGTGGGTAGAAAACAAAAATCTCTTGTATATCCTTCGTTTTTTTAATCTCTACTCATGACGTTTCTTAAGACAAGCTTAGTGTTTTGTCTTAATCTTTGAAAAGAAAACAAGCTTTCTCTAATCTGATTGTTTCTCATGCGCAACTGTTTTACATCGAAAACTTACTGCTGTAGAACATGTATTCTTATGTTTATTATTATTTACGATGGTGAATTAGGGTTGAAAAGATTGCAGGAAATGTTTGAAATTGTAAATTAGTTTAATAAAGGGTGGCTTAGATTAAGATTTCAAGGTTTTTTTCATTAGAAACCAGTGATTTAATGGAACCGGGAGGACGAGAAAATGAAATGGGGATGCTAAGCTCTTTTACCAGGAACATGAACTGGGGTAGAGAGGCGGAGAGCAGAGATAGAAGAAGAAGAAGTGGCACGTGGCAATCCAAGTTAAAAGATAATGGTCCAACAGTGATTTTTGTTATGGTTGTTAACGATCCGACCAATTTATAACAAATGATAACGTTAGTGATTGATTTGTGACTTTTGAAATATCAATGGTAAAAACGAATATTAACTCAAACATTAATGACCATTGACATAGTTTATCCAAGTTAAAATGTTGAGGGTTAAAGTATTCAAGAAATGAGGACCAAAATAATCATTCAAAGAAATTTAGCTGACCCTATTCTCATATGTAATGAGGTGAGGGGAGGTAAGATAGTAGGCTGCCCCTAACACCAGGTTGAGAGCAACTTCGGTGGAAGACCTCCGGCACTCAGAATTATAAATTGTCCACCGTGGAACTCGATCCACGACCACAAGGTTAAGAGCCTTACGCTCTACCAACTGAGCTGGACGGCAATTTTGATATTATATCAAAAAGAAATAAATCCTAGTAAGGTGATGAACCTAAGAAATTGATCACCAAAGCTCGTCCCACCCTAAACGGTAGTTTCCGAATCTAGTGGAAGCCCTAGTAGTTAAACACGAAGGAATCCCAACAAATATGTCAAAATGGAAGAGAGAGCTAGTAAGTCCTAACAGAAAGATGGAAAAGTAAAAGAGAGAAGAGAAGGGATATCATTTCGAGAATTTCGCCACATCGATCAAGCCAGATAGACCCAACACGCACATAGTAACATGTCATGCTTCCCTCAAGACATGCCCTAGTTTCTAGGCCCCACTCTTTTTTTCCACGTGGCGCCGCCTAACGTACCCCCTGGCCTCCATGCAATGCTTTCTGCTTCGATCATAAAAACATTCCACCACCAGGCCCCTCCCTCTCACATTGATTATTGTTCTTCTCACCAAACTAAAGCTTGGGGGTTGAGAAAATGAAGGTAAGCTACAACATACCCATATATTTGTTTCTTTGATTTCCCTTTCTAATGAATCAAATTGGGTTTTCTTGTTTAATGTAAATTTTAATAGATCTTCAACTGGGTGCAAAAGAGGTTCCATCAGAAAGTCCTCAAAGGTTTGATAATATTTTTCTAACTTATTTCCATTATCATGCATTCTTTTCTCTATATAGAATTGATGGTTTTTTTTGCAGATGGGCTTGCTCGAAATGTTAAGAAGACTGATTCGCTTGCAATCGATTCCAACACGAAAGCTTTACTCGAACAGGTAACACCTTCCGACATGCTGGATGGTTGGCGAGATGGCATTTTAGCAATCGGCACTTTCGGTTTCGATCCTTTGAACCAAAACGACTACTTAGCTTCGGAAAGCTACGAAGACCACGACGACAACGAAGACGAAGCAGAGGAAGAACTATACACCGATAATAACGATGAAGAAGATGAAAATCTTGAGAATGAGAGTGATGAAGAAGTGAACCCACTGGTGTTGAGTGCTTTCGAGCACAGTTTGGAGGAAGTTGATGGAGAAAGTGACGTGATGATGATGATGATGGTTGATGGGAACGGTGGGTCTACTGATCACGAAATTAAGATCGACTTGGAGGCCACTGAGACCCATTCCGGAAAGCTGAGGAGAAGAACTACACTGGCCGACCTCTTCTCCGAGGACCCTGACTTCAAAAACAAGCACTGCCCACTGCAACTGGACTCAGATTCAACCAAAAAGCCATCATCTAGTACCAAAAATGGCTTTCCTTTGCCAAGAAACTCATTCCTCAAGTTGGAGAAGATTCTCGTCCCATCAAAATGCTGCACCATGTGAGTATTTATAAAACCTCTGCCTCCTTTCACTTGCACACTAATCACTCTCCATTTCTCTTATTAGTTTCATATTAATTTATTATAATGGGTAATTATTTGATTAGGAATGAAAATTTTCTACAAAGTAGTTAGGATATTGTCACGTGTACTTATAAAAAAAACTCGTAAAAGTGTGTAAACTTCTTCGTAGAGTTTTTTTTTTAATTCTATTGTTAGTAAATTATAAGGTTATTATAATTAGGTCTAATTATGCTTCCGATCATCCGGCCTTTTTCAAATATGGTTCATTTGCTTTTAATTCTAAGAATTTAGTTTCTCACTAGTCTTATTTAAAAAATTAAGGTAATTTTATACTTGAACCGGAAAAAAAAATCAAAGGATCAAATTTCAAAAGATCAATAAGCAAGGGTGGGGCGTAATTAAACCTTATAATGATCCAAATACACGAAAGACTTTACTAAATTCAATAGGGGGGAAAAAGGGTAAAAAGTAGCTATGATCAAACTGACCATCTGATTGATTAAAAAGTTGAAGTTTTCATATCCGTACTGTTAAAAAAAAGCCTGAAATTTGGAGCAAAAGTTAGTGAATTGAACAAACTGATTTGAAACATCAGATGATGAGAGGATGCTGAAAAGGAAGATTCATCCGGAGCTGGAAGGCAAGGGACAGTGCAAGTCCACCGTAATTGATGCTCTTGCTAAAAAGACATTTCAATCCACTGAATCTGCGTCTCTGCTTCATTCACCAGGTATTACTTTTTCCAAAACCTTAGTGAGGGATGTACTAAATAGGCGGATGTACCTATAAAAATTTAAAATTATTATATATTTTAATTTTTTCTATATATTTCCTTATTGAAAATATGTTTGGCCCCCTCTCAAGAATTTTAGTTCGTCCCTTGAAATTTTAGTTCATCCCTCTTAAGTTTAATTCATACTCCAACATAAAATGTTACGTTCATCGCTCACTATAACGTGGATGTCCTATCAGCAACTGGTTATTTACTCTTCACAGTCCATTCTTGTTGTACTATCTGTGAGCCGGTTCTTGTTGTACGTACTCCGCTCGTTGCATGGTTAGGTAAAGTTGGGTGGTCAATAAGAGAGAAACCGAATGGATAGTGATAATACTCATAACCCCTCCCCCCTTTTTTCCCTCAAAAGTAACACTACAAATGTATAAAACCAACGAGGAAACCGTCGAAGTAATCCCGACACTGTTTGTGTTCCCAATCTGGTCTATTTTCTGGCCCCATGACAATATCCTCACCGGACTGTTATGTCTGGCGTTAAAATTTGTGGGGTCGATTTCCCATTATCCTTCATTATTTGTATCATAATATTTGATCAACTAAACTAACGAGCATATTGCCTTCTCTCTTATTTTTTATTTTCTGATATTTGATTATATTATTGTTTTGCAGATGCTGCTATAGCTTGAGATTCGAGTGACGATGATGGATGACCTAGTCTGATTAATATTAATGCGTTGTTTCTTAAATATGTTCTCTGTTTGTGTCTTTAATTTGTGGACAATGTTGATTAATGAAGCTACTCGTGCACGTGAACTATGGAACCGTGTGATTTTCTTTTCTACTTCTATTTTAGTGTTTTGGTTGTCCCCGCATTGCCCTTGCTTATGTCTTATGCACCTTTATCTACATTTCTAATATATAAATAAATTAATTAGTGAGATGAGATGATATAATTAGATGAAAACTTTGAATTCGTGTCATGTCAATTCCAATTTGTAATTATGGTTTATTGTTTTGGCTTTAGTATATGTTCGTTGTTTGTTTAAATTGTCTTGGATTATTAATGATTCGAACATCTTCGTTGACTCCATAATACTTAAGTATGAATGTTGTACGATAATACTACTATGCTTTCAACATTAACTCATTAAATAATTAGTTGGTAAGTGCCTTCGATTTAGTGGGATTTATGGTGGTTCTTATATGACGAAATACAATAGCATCTACGGAAGAAGCAAACCCTTGTCAACTAGAGATGGATAGTGGAGCGGATTTAAGTTGTTATGTATTTTAGATATTTTATATAAATTTTGTTGATAATTTATTTTCTTTCTCTTAGAAATTGATAAATTGATCCGTTTTAATATTTTAGAAGTTCGTTCCCCAAACATAAAGTTTTACGTTTGTCATATTATCTAGGTCGATTATGATTGGCCTTTTGGGGATATAACCAATTAACCATCGGTAAGGGGCTCAGTTTTATAATTGAAATCTAGAGTTTTCACATTGTGGAATGGTTGTTTTTTAGATAAATTTTGAAGAAGTATGGGACATGAATCATAGTTTTTGTTTCCAGTCAAACCAATTAAGTTTTCAAAGCAAATTGAAAAATTTTAAAATTAAGTGACCAAAATAAATACAGTCAAAATTGAGTGATCAAGAAGTAATATAGCCTATAAAAATTAGATCAATTGATCAACAAATTTTATAGAGCCCAGTCTATTGGTTTGAAAAATTGGTCTCAGAGCGAATGGAGTAGCCCACTACGGATATTCGTAAAGTTGAAGTTGTTTAGGAATAGCCCACTATGTATTTTATTTTCCGTATTAATAACTGATTTCAAGCCTACAAAGAGAGGCTTTTTCTTCATTTCTCTGCCACTGCTCACTAGGTTTATTTGGGAACGAGATTTGTTTTAGGTAAAATATATATTAAAAATTTAAATTTTATTATTAGTTCTTGTATCGTATATGAGTATTTAATTATTATAAGTTCCTTTGATTAATTTTTTTAATTTTTAATTTTTTAAATGATAAATGGATAATACGATTAAATTACGAGAATTAAAACGATCAAATAAAAAACTTAAATTGAATCTATATCTTTTGCATTGTCAAGGAATTGACAATAAAATTTAATAGCCAGAGTTTAGGTGAAGATTAACATTTTTAAAAATATGGAGATTAAATTCATAATCTTTACCTAAAACAGTGATCGATAGTAGAATTTGACCTAATTAAACAAGTTATCGTAGAATGGGTAATAGTGTTTATATAGACTTCAGAGGTAGGTTCGGATGTTTTCAACGGGTCAATTTCCCCCAAAAGAATCTTCTTAGTCTCCAGTGCTTGCCATGCTTTATGCTCCTCCTCTTGGACTGACAGAAACCCTTGTTGGACTGCGATTTGGAGTTTATAGGTCCCCGAACGAATTCGGAGCTTTCTTTGGTTGAGCATAAGAGACAGAACGCTAACTAATTTCCACCGTTGTCGGCGAGGCATCGGGAATGGCCCATCTTGTCATTTGTGCCACGCTGAAAATGAAACAATGTTGCATATCTTACGAGACTGCACCACTCTCATCACATTTGGGATAACTCATGAAATATCCCTTCTCGTTCTTCGACCTTGACCATGGAGATTGGTTGCTTTGGAATCTTAAGTCCACGTTCATCTGCGAAGAGAGTCATGGACCCTGGGGCCAGGGGCGGAGGTAGACTCGGCCTACCTAGGCCTTGGCTACCATGCGAAGTAAAAAAAAATGTAATTCTAGAATATAATTCTATTGCATTTAATTTTAATTTTAATTATATTTAATCAAAATTAAATTAATTAGAGTCTTATTTAATTTTAAATTTAACTATAATTTTACCTCTTCAAAATCTTAAATTAAGAGATATTTTCTTTTATATATATATCATCTCTTTCTTATTTATTTATTTATTTATTTATTATTGTATTTTTTAAATTCAAATGAATTATTTTTAAAGCCTAAAGATAATTAAATATCTTAACTGAGATTTTGAGATTTTGAGTTTTTGATCTTCTTATATAGGTTTTTATTACATTTTTTTTTGGAAATTTTATGCTTTATGCTTTATTTTATTCTTTAATTACTTATAAACTTGTGATGTTATTCGTTGTTTTTAGCAATTTTTCAATATTATCTACAAGATTATAATAAAAATTTAAAAGATACTCCATATATCATATTTAATTCAATTAAAATTAATCAATATTTTTTGTCTCGATCATAGATGAGTTTGATTATTTGAAAATGAGAGTTCATCTTAATTGATGAAAATATTATATTTCATACTATGTATTTTTTTTACATAAATTTGAATTTTTTTTGAAACATTTAGTTATACTAGTTATAGTTGTTATTAAATTTTTAAATTGTAAGATTATATATGTGAGTTATACTCCTATTAGATTATTTTTTTTATTATATTTATTTTGCCAAATAAATAATATTTTTCTGGATTCCCCAGAAACTCTTTATATTCTAAAATATCATTCCTATTCCGGATGCGTTCTGCATACTAGCATAACTTGGAGCAGGCTTTATCTTGATTGTGTTCCTGTTAGGATTTTGAATAGGGTTCTAGCCAGTATCCAAGTTCAAGTGGTGTCACCCGAATCCGTGATGGAACGCTCTCAACACCGATGGAGCCCTTTCGCCACACACGAAGTCAAGTTCAATTGGGGACATCTTCAGAGATCATATGGGAAATTGCATTGGCACTTTTTATAAGTCGATCGGCTTTTCAACGATCCTTGAAGCTAAGTGACGGGGAATTTATAAAGGTATTCATCTTGCATGAAATCATTGTTTCGAGAAACTAATCATCGAAAGTGACAGTGGGGATCCTCTCAAACTTCTTTCGCCACCTTCAGATTCGAGTCCTTTTGCTTCCATTCGAGCCATTGCCCGTCTTCTTGACAAAACCTAGTTCGTACAATTCTCGAAAATTTACAGGGAAGCTAATGTGGCTGCTGATTTATAGGCCAAGCTGACTGATCACTCCTCAGATGCAACTGTTGTTGTCGACCCGCTTCAGCTTCATGCTATCCTTTTCAGAGATTTCAACAGCCCACCTTACTCGTAATTGCTTGATGTAATTATCCCTATTAAAAAAATGATATATGAAACAGTTTCCCATATATTTTTTAACTAGTAAGAAAGATTCAAATCTAGTAGGATAGAGGGATAATTGGGTTCCAAATAATTAAAGATTTGAT